CATATTAGAGGTTTGGTCCCGCACCTTGTTGGAGGGGGAGGGGTCTCCCTTCTCCAATACGCTGACGACACCATTGTTATGGTCGAGGGATCCGCCCTTGAGATTTCCAACCTGAAGTTCCTCCTTCTGTGCTTCCAGCAAATGTCGGGCCTTACCATCAACTTCGACAAGAGCGAAGTGATGGTGCTCGGTTACCCCGCTGAGGAAGCTCAGTCCATTGCCGATCGGCTTAACTGTCGGCTGGGTTCTTTCCTCACGACTTATCTGGGGATCCCCATTAGTGACTCGCGCCTCACCGTGGCGGACCTCCGCCCCACGGTGACCCGTATGCAACATCGCGTGGAGCCCTGGAAAGGGCGTTGGCTGTCGAAGGCGGCCCGCGTGATTCTTATCAACTCCTCGCTGGCCAGCCTCCTGTGGTTCCTCATGAGCTTCTACAGCCTTCATGAGACGCTCCATCAGGAGATCGCCAAATACCAGTCCAGATTCTTCTGGGCAGGGGAGGAGGGCAAGCAGAAATATCACATGGTCAGCTGGCCAGATATTTGCAAACCCAAAGACCAGGGCGGTCTTGGGATCCTGTCCTCTCGGCGCATGAACATCGCCCTCCTGACCCGCTGGCTATGGCGCATCGCCAATGGCGAGGGAGGCCTCTGGCTAACTATCATCCAGAACAAATACCTACGTGGACAGCCCCTGGCGTTCTGCCAATGCTCGGGCGGTTCCCAGTTTTGGCAGGCTGTCGTCCAGCTGCTACCGGTTCTGCGTATAGGCACTTCCATCTCTGTGGGCTCTGGCGCCTCGACCTTTTTCTGGCTGGATAGATGGCTTGGGGACTCCCCTCTAGCCGCCCGGTTCCCCATCCTCTTCGATATTGTAGTTGACCCTCGGGTCTCTGTCGAGGCGGCCCTTATTGACTTAGGGCGCCTCGCGTTCCGCCGCCCTTTTGGACCTGCCGAGGTGGCTGCCTGGGATGATCTCCTCCAGGACATCGCCCTGCTGCCTATGGACGTGGCAGACGCTCCGGATGCCATCTCCTAGCGCCTAGATCCCTCCGGCCGCTTCTCCACCAAATCCCTCTACGCGGCCATTGCCCCCTCGTCAGCTCCGGAGCCCTTCGGCCTTATCTGGGACATTCGCCTCCCACTTAAGATTCGGATCTTTCTGTGGCAGTGGATCCGCGGCCGCCTCCCGGCCGGCGTGGAGGTCCTCAAGCGCCATGGTCCTGGTGATGGAATGTGCCCCTTGTGTGCCACGGTTGAGGATGCTAATCACATCTTCTTCTCGTGCTGCACGGCACAGTTCCTTTGGTCTTGTTTCCGCGAAACGGTTGGCGGACAGTGGTGCAATACCAACTTCCCTGACTTGCTTGCCGAAATTCAGGCCTCCCCCCCTCGCTACAGACATATTAGATGGCTGTGCGTCGGGGTGCTGGCCTGGACCTTGTGGACGGTTCGCAATAGGCTTGTCATTCAGAAAGTGCCCCTTCGACGTGCGACTGACTCCATCTTTAAAATGTGTGGTTACTTGCAGCTCTGGCGGCCGCTTAGCCGCCCCCCGGACCGGGACGCCATCGACAGACTCCTCACCGACCTCCGTTCGTTGGCCTTCCGCCTGGCACCTCCGCTCCCGCCGCCACCCCCGGAGCCCGACTAGTGGATGATTCTCTTCTGGCGCGTGTGCCTTTTTGGTTGTGTGTGTTGGGCTTGTTGAGCTGTGCCCTCAGCAGTACCCCTTGTTGCTTTCTTGTGCTTGGACTTTGGGTGCGTGTGGACCTTGTGTTTGTATGAACTTTGTGGTTGTGGCTTTGGCATTGGCTTTATCTATAAAGCGGGGCGTGAGCCTTTTTCGGTAACAGTACAACAAAAACAAACACCAAACGAGTATCAAACTTATTTATGAACAACGGCTATGAGCACGTTATGCTAAATAAAACCAACCATGACTTCAACACCGTTCCTTTGTCACCAGGAACCCGATATCTCCACTCTCTCCAACTATGGTGTAAATCTAAGTGTAACTTGGATGCACTTCTCTTTTATTCTCTTAACTTTCAGGTGTATCTAGAACAAAATTCATCACCTCAGACCTCAGTGCTAGGGGGAGAATCGTTAATCCAAACTGAAATAGTCCAACCCCACAAATACTTTGCACCGTCTGCTATGGATAATGTACATAAATTTGATAAAGTATAAACACCAATTCTCTACAAATATTGAATTTTCCAATTTATGGTCACCGCAATGAAATTAACTTGCTAAGACTAAAAAATGCCTTACAAAGAAATTATTTAATGTGATAACCCACCCAAGACATTATTTTCAGCAATCTTCTTACAAGGTCATGGGTTTGACATATGAGGAAAAGACATCCATCATAGACAAATCACTGAATGTGCTCCCAGGAAAGAAATCACGAATATACTAATGAAACATTTCTGATACACCTAATGTGAAGAGGAAGATAATCTATTCGAGCTATTCGAGAAATTAATACACTATCTTATAAATCATAACAATATTTTTCCAATTGCAGTTTCAATCAAAATGTAAAATGACTTCATTTTTTGTAAGCTTCCTAATCTTTACTCGCAGGTGAAAAAAAAATCCTCAAACCCAGAAGCCAACACAATATGGATACGACAGGGTATAAAAATCAGGCACATGATTATTTGCGTGATTTTACTTTTTCACACAAGTAGAATGATAATATCATAACCGTATACATCACTTGCAGCTACATGATAGGCTATAGAAACCATGTACATCTACTTGCATGCAATCGACGAAGCACAAGGGAAATTTTTATCAAAGAGCGCAACTGATTAACAACTTTATGCCGCAGTTGCTCCTGATGCTCTTGTTCTTCTTCCAGGTTCAACCACATGGCATATTAATAGCGGAATCATACTAGCAGCAACCCGGCATCAAACGCAGGCAACAGAATGTTCAGAACTATTACAAAAGGCTAATTAAAGATAACGTTCCAGCTGTTCTAATACTGAATTTCCTATTAATTGTTCCCCAGGTGTGAGTGAGTTTTGGCTTGTTAGGATCTCTAGTTCTGAATTTGGATGTTGAACTTGTTTCATGTTTAATGGAACTGGGCGCGGGCCTTTTGCTCTAAGAAAATTTCAGATAACCTGAGCCAAGGCCAAATATGCGGTTCCA